ATATCTACAAACTGGGTACATATTTGGACTCGACATGCTTCCCCTGAAATGTATGTTTCACATTTTTTATACATATTTTTGTCCAAAACAGTACTAAATCATCCACTTTAGTACAATTTGTATACAATGTTGTTCAACTTTCATACAATAGGTAAATGAATAAAAGAAAAATAAATAAACAACAGTCTACAATTTTTCTACAATTTCTGCATATAATGTATGTCATGTCTTCTTCTTCTTCTTCTTCTTCTTCTTCTTCTTCTTCTTCTTCTTCTTCTTCTTCTTCTTCGAGTTTCAATCTGAAATTCAGTCAAAACCAAGTCTAATCTTCACCAAAACCCCTCAAAATTGAGATATAAACTCCAAACCATATTCCCGATTATTTTCAACAACACCCAATCCAAATAAATAATGATTTTTGAAAACCCAAATTTGAATTCAAAGCTTTCAAGCTTTTTAATGGCTGTCAATGGTGGAATTGCTGCTCTCTTTTCATTTGCTTTGTATTACTGAAATTTAGGATTGAGAGATAGAGAGAGATGTAGAGAGAATTCTGGAAACAGAGTGTATCGCAAAAACAGAGTATGGAAAATCTTGTTCTGCGTTGTGGAAGATCAGAGTGAAGGCGACGATAATTATGGAATGTGTGTGATCTGCGTTTGTGGAAGATCTTGAAGAATATTTAATTCCCCAATTTTAGCGCGCCTAAGTAAGGAATCCTACAGCTACAATGATTCCTTATTTAATGCATGTCTATATTTTGGGGGAATACTATTAGCATGAAGGGTAATATGCAAATTATGAACATATTTGGTATTATAGTTTCCTATATGGTATAGGAACGAAAATTTCCCTATCATTTATTCACTTCAAATTTATTTGAGCCGTGCAGTACCGGTTATCATGCAGAAAATATAAGTTCTACGTAATGGTATATTAAATATTTAAATAATTTAGTGACTTACTAGTTACGAATAAATTTCTCAATAAATATTGTAATAAATAATCACATAATAACTAATCTACAATCACATGGTAGTTGTGTATAACTTATTAATATGGTGAAAAGAATTTTATGCAAAATAGAATTTTTTTTACATGAATTACTTACTCTAAAAAGATAAATTTTGTCTTTAAATCATTCAACTCCTATTTTTTTTAATGTAATTACTATTTCACATTCTATTACCTATAAAATTATATATAAAATTTTGCATAACTTAGAGCTTATTTGCAAGCGTCTAGGATGCCAAAACTATTTCTCCCAAAAAAGCATATTTTAAAAAATTTGAAGTGCTTAGCCAAGATGGAAAAGTGCTTTCGAGCAGTAGCAGAAGCAGTTTTTCTGCTTTTCGGTAGAAGCTTCAAATTCTAGCTTCTTCCAAGAAGGAGAAACAGAAAATTATTTTTTTAAGATAAATATCCTTACCATAAATTTATATTTATCAAATTATCTCTCATTAATTTGATGTTTTTCTTTTCTTTTTCTATTTTTACCACTCCTTAATTTATTTATTTATTTATGCCATACTTTTATTCTTCTTCTCTATTCCTCTTTAGGATAATCTCTCTACTATAGATCTTTTTCTTTTTTTATATCTAGTGATTTGAACTGAATGATGTATTTGAGATATTTAAAAGGGAAAAAGATCATATTTATCCCTTTACTTTGATAAATTATTCATGTTAATCCCTCATTCTACTTTCGGTTCAAATATGTGTCTACCGTCAGTAAAGTATACAAAATCGCTCCTAACCCTAACAGATTTCCTACGTGGCAGTAGGACCCCTCAATTAATGTGCAAACTGGGCAAATACCAACCCCAATTGTAGAGACCCATGCTCATTTTTTTTTGACCCATGCCCATTTCTTTGACCCCACCCTTCCTGCTTACCCTCTTCTTCTCTTTCCTCTTCATTAATGGCTGGCTACCTCTCTTCTTTCCTAGAACCCATAACAGAATTTTTAAGGCAAGAGAAGGAAAGTTAGGTCCAGAATTGCCAACTGGAGATTACAACATCAATAACAAAGCATTATAATCACTGTACTATGGAGTATTTAGGTTTTTATGAGTTGGGTTACCATTGAAATGTACAAAAAAAATCGAGACAAAATAAATTAGAGAAATCAACTAAATGTTCTCTGAATCTGAGTTCATCAACATCTAATACACAATTAAACCACTCGACCGAACTGGACACATTGAAACAGAAAAGAAAAAGAATGAGAAAAATAACATAAATGGGGATGGGGTCATCCAAGTTTTGTCACTGTCCAAAGGGATTTTCCGGTGGTCGGCATTCTCAAAGATTTTCTCAATTAAAAGTTAACACCATCGCCAAGATCCTGCAATCAAGAATCACAAAAGAAAAAGTCCAATATTCCCACTGAACTTTTGTACATAAGATAAGAAACCAAAAACCATGGTTATCTTATGATCAGCCATAATTTCCCAGCTCCAAAATGAAAGAGGAAAAAAAAAGGAAGAACAAGAACTGGAAAAGAAGAATGACAGATTAGGGGCGATTTTGTATACTTTACTAACGGTAGGTGCATATTTGGATCGAAAATAAAATAAAGGATTAACGTGAATAATTTATCAAGTAGAGGATTAAATCTGACCTTTTATCATCACGTAAACTATAAGTAACTATAGATATTCAATTCATTGCTTTGGTATACTATAGTCCATATTTTATATTTTATATTTTATATAAATAAAATTTTAAGATTAATTAATTATTTTATAATAAATATTCTATTTTAATAATATTAATTGTAAACTGAACCTCAATATTATATATTCCTAACTTGAAACTGAGATGTACTTTATAGAAAAATAGGTCATACACAATTTGCTTATCCAATATTAATTAAAAAGAATATTTCTTAAATGAATTGGCCAAACACAAACTACTACTCTCCAATAATACTTTTTCAAAAGATATATTTTAAACAAAAGTACTCTTAAGAGCATGTTTGGATGAGCTTAAAAGCTGGTCAAACTAACTTTTAAGCACTTTTTAACTTTTAGTAGTGTTTGGCAACCAAATAAAGGGCTTAAAAAAAGTTAAAATCTGCTTGAAAAAGCCAAACCAACAAGTTGGATAAATCCAACTTTTTTGAAATTGGCTTAAAAGCCACATTGCTTTGACCAAAGATATTACATTCTTATCCCTTATAATTTTTCTTAATCCCGAAATTACCCCTCAGTATAAAAAAACCTAAAACATACAATATCTTTCTTTTCTCCCTTCTTGTTGCAGACTCTGCGTTCTTCTTCCTCTTCTTGTTGCAGACTCTCCCCAACTTCAGCTCCAATTTGAAAGCATCTTCAGTCCAGTAAGTTTAATTTTCCTGTTGAATTTCAATTCCTAGTGTGTTTTTAAAGTTTTGGATTAAATTTGATGGGAAACCCCCTTTTTATTTGGCTTTTTCTTGGGTTTTGACATGAATTTGTGACTAATTGTTCAACTTTTCCTTGGATTAATTTCAACTCTATCGTTTCACAAGAAAAGGCATATTATAAAGTGTTTTTCTGCTTTGTTTTTTCTTTTGGGTACAATGAATATAGTTTTCAGTCAACCAAAAAATCTTGTTGATAAAAGACAATTTTCATGTTAATAAGTAAAATGTACGTATATTAACATGAAAATTGTACATAAGATGGGAAAATGTACATATATTTATAAAAATTTAACATGGAATTTTATAAATATTAAACTAAAATTCCATGTTAATAAGATGGGAAAATTTGTTGGCGAAGTTGAGGCAGAGTCCAATTTTGGGTTTGTTCCTTTCAATAGTGCTTGCTATTGTAAGCTCATGGCGTCATTATCAAAGATGGTGGACTGTTTGTATTTTGGGTCTCAAGCAATTTTATTCCTTGAACAAGAATCTGGAGAAATTGACAATTTTGTTGGAAAGAAACTGTAAATAAGCTAGATGCTGATTTCATGCTTTTCAAAGATTTTATTGGCTCTTTTATGAAATATTTTGAGGTAGGCTATGGTGTTTGTTGCTAATGGTTTGCTCCTAGAACCTAGTTCATCAAGATGGATGCTCGAACTTGTTGCTTTGATTTTGTAATTGGTGTTTCTTCTGCCTCCAGTTCATACAGGGGGCAAACATATTTACCAACAGCACAATTTTTTGAAAAAGAATAGCAGTTTTGTGTAAGTTCTTAGTTTTGTGTTGCCTTCTTTAGTTCATCACGGAGCCTCAAAGCAAACACTAAAGGCATTCTTTCTGTCAAACACAAGGCCCTTTTAAGCTTTCTTTATGCAACTGTAGTCTTAGCTTCTTGGTTGTTCTGCTTTCTTCAGATTATTTACATTCAATCATGCCGGACAATGCTAAGTGGGACGATAATACACATATTATATTTCTTGAGTTATGTGAGCAAGAGGATATACACTCTCTCATAGAGTTTATGTCTAGCGAAAACACTGCTACATCTCCTGCAGTTGATGAGACATCCATCGAGAAGTGTATTGGCACGTTAGAACAAATTTCTGATATTCTAGCTGGGAGTGAAATTTACAATTTTACTATGAATATGTTCCGCAAGAAAAATAACCGACAAATATTTTTGGAGATGCCTATTGATGAAGCTCGCAAGTCTTGGTTGGAGTTTAACTATCGGTTATACTTCAAGAAAAATGGATAATGTATCGTTGCGGTTGAGTATTTCTATTATTCCGTGTTCTAACATTGTGATTGTATGTGTAAACGTTATTATAGTTTTATGTGTAAACTTTATATATTGTTTCTTGTTTAGACGTTGTGATTGTATCATTAAACTTTTATTTAATTAAAGCTTCTGTTTGTTGAGCTTCTATTGTTAAGCTTCAGTTAACATCATTTGTAAAGCTTCAATAATGCTTCAGTAACTTCAATTAGCTTTTACTTAGCTTCCCTTTACTCTATGTTTGTATAGCTTCAGCTAAGGTTATGTTTAGAAAGCTTCGGTTAACTTTCTGTTTTCATTTTCAGTAAAATGGAGAGTTCGAACTCTAGTGACATAGTAGATCCTTATCCAAGTTATTCATCAAACGATGAAGATGAAGAAGAATTGGAAGAAATACAAAAGGAGCAAGATGAGAAGGAATGGACGGCTTTATTTCAAATAGCAGGTAAATTGATTTTGATGTATTACGAAAAATACCTATACAAGGAACCTTGTCGTACATCTAGTCGCTCTGGAAATGTATTTATTCAAGAGATATTAAGAGGAAACGAGACTCGTTTTTATGAAAATTTTCGATTGAGGAAGTCGGTGTTTGTTGATCTATCGAATGACTTAACTGAAAAGTATGGGCTTAAACCCACACGTGGAATGTCTATACACGAGATGTTAGGCATGTTCTTGATAACTTGTGTACATGGAGCTGGAAATCGATTGATACAGGAAATCTTTCAACATTCGGGAGAAACAATTCATATACACTTTCATAGTATTTTAAAGGCTATTTGTGAGATTGCAAGAGATATAATTAGACCACATCAAAATTATAATGATGGTGCAGGAGCTCACAAGCCATGTAATGGTCGATATCTCCCTTTCTTTAGAGTAGGAAACATTTTTACATAATTATTTTTTATTAAACTTATAACTTAACTTTTATAAGTATTACTAACTTAAGTTAAATTTATACTTGTAAATGTATGTAGGATTGTATTGGAGCACTTGATGGCACACATGTTAAAGCAAGATTACCGCAAGGTTAAGAGATACCATATAATGGACGTAAAGGTTATCCGACTCAAAATATTCTTGCTGTCGTAGATTTTAATATGTGTTTTACATTTGCATGGGTTGGGTGGGAAGGAGCAGCTCACGATAGTCGTATATTTGGTGAGGCCCTTCGTAGACCGGAACTCAACTTTCCACATCCAATTGGAAATAAGAATTATCTAGTTGATGCAGGATATCCGCACATGAAGGGATATATGGCTCCATACAAAGGAGATAATCTGAGATATCACCTAGCAAAATTCCGCCGCGGTGCAACAAGACAATTGCGAGAACCAAGAGAGCGAATTGAAAAATTTAACTATTTGCATTCTTCTTGTAGAAATATTGTAGAGCGCACATTTGGGGTTTGGAAAGCAAGATGGTCTATTTTGCGAGATATGGCTTTCTATCACATTGACACTCAAAGAAGCATCGTACTTGATACTATGGCCATTCATAACTATATTAGAAAGAAATGTAATATGGATGATGCATTCCGAGCAACTGAGAATGGGAGATATGTTCCATCTATTGATCCTGATATTGGTACATCTTTGAGAGCTAATAACAATATAAATACGAAAAATATGGAAGAGCAAAGTGATCTTGTTTGGATGGGCCTTCACGATTTGATTGCTAATGAAATTTGTGAAGCTTGATACTTGTAGTTGTATGAATCTTTTAAAACACTAATATTTATTATTTTACATTCCAATTGAGAAATGTTATTTTGTTTCGTTCTCTAGAAATATGCATATAATGACCTAACTTTCTATAGAATTTGAGAAATCAGTGTTCTGAAAATTTGATGCATTGATTTTATATGTTGAATCTTTATTAGTTAGAGGAACAAATTATTTTTCTTTCCTCTAGTGTACAAGCTAAAAATGAGAGTTCAAGAATTATATTTGTAAAAGCTATCTTAAGTAATCATTTAAATTGAAATTAAATTAAAATATAAATTATTTTTTATTTGCATTAATTTTGAATCAAATATATTATAGTAAACAACTCCTTTATAATGTTAACAGCTTTAAAGATATTTATGTCTTTTTAACAGAAAAAAGTTCTTACCAAACACTTGTTTACCAAACACTTCAACAGCTTTTTTTAAGTTTCAACACTTTTCTTTTGATAAAATTTTAAACTTTATTTCCTGGAAAACAAATACATGCACTAATCAGTACAAAAAAACCTTCACTATATAGTTGGACATGCATCCCCAACCTATATATACTACTTTCACTAATCAAATCAACTACACACTATCAGAATCTATCTAAGGATAAAAATTCAATGTTTGTAGCTTCTTCTCCAAATTTAACCACATTGAACCCCTGCAATGTATATCTTGTACTATCATTCTCACCAACTCTTCGGCCTTTCTTTTCTTCTTTCTGAAAATCCTCCAATTCCTTTCCTGCTATAAGTAGTATACAGCTCCAGCTAGAATCATTCTATATATAACTGCGTCTGATCTTCTTCCTGTTGCATATTTACTGGCCCAACTTATTTCTTCAGACCATATCTTGGCTTTCCTTCCTATTCCAGCCCAATACAATACTTTCTCCCACACATTGCTTGAGTATTTGCACGTAAAGAACAAGTGATTATGGTCTTCATCAGCTTCTTCACATAACACACTCTGCATTCGTAATACTTTCCCATTTCATTAATCTGTCCTTTGTATATAACCTGTTCTGGACAGCTATATACATAATGAATAACCACCTTGGACTACTCAGTTGTTGCATATTAATCTCCTCCATGTGGCCTTTGTGAATTCACCCCTCATCTTGTTATACACCTCTCTGATTGAATACTTTTTTCCCATTCATCACTTCTGCTATATTGATTCTTGCTTCTGTCAGGTCTTTCACAGCTTTTAGTATCTTCTAAGTTGTCCATGCTGCTCGGTTAGCCTTCACATCCCATGTTATCTCTTTCTTTATATAGTAAGTATGCATCCATTTGATCCATAGTCTGTCTTTCTTATTGCATAGGTTCTACAGCTGTTTCAGGACTGCTGCTTTGTTCCAAGTCACTATATCTGTTATGTTCAGGCCCCATGCAGTTTTTGGCCAGCAAAGTTGTGTCCATGCAACCAAAGCCTTCTTGCTCCCCTCTGCCTCCCCTGTCCATAGAAATCTTTTGCAAATGCTTTCAATTTTCAGTAGAATCTTCTTTGGCAATTGGAACACCTGTGACCAGAATGATTGGATAGATAATAACACACTTTTAATCATTTGTAACCTCCCTGCATATGATAAAAATCTTGCAGTCCAGCTTTGCACTTTTGCTAAAATTTTGTCCAGTAAAGGTTGACATTGATTAACTGACAATCTTTTAGCACTAAGTGGTACTCCGAGGTATCTGAAAGGTAAAGAGCCCAAAGAGAAACCCAAACTATTCAGTATTTGCTGTTGCACATGTCCTGATACACCTCCAAAATATATACAACTCTTTCCTTGATTTGCTATCAAACCTGATGAGGAAGAGAATTGTTGAAAGCATTCATTTAACATTTGTGCTGATATGAGATCACCTCTACAGAAGAGTAGAAGATTATCTGCAAAACTGAGTTGCAAGATATTGAGTTTCTCACATTTCGGATGAAAGTTAAAGTCTGGATTATTCTTCAAATCCTTCATTAACCTTGTAAGATATTCCATGGCTAACACAAATAGGTAAGGAGACAAAGGGTCCCCTTGCCTCACCCCACGTTTGGCATCAAAAGGAGTAGTTAGCTTACCATTTATCACTATTGAATAAGTGACTGTAGAAACACAAGCCGTTATCCATTTAAGAAATTGATCTGGTATGTTCATTGCTGCAAGTACTTGCTCTAAGAAAACCCACTCCAAGGAATCATATGCCTTCTGCATGTCTATCTTGATCATGCACCTTGGGGATATACCTTTCCGACCATAACCTTTCACCAATTCATGTCCTAATAATATGTTGTCATTTAGAATTCTTCCTGGTACAAAGGCTGCTTGACTTCAATCCACCAGATAATCCATTACCTTTTGCAACCGACTAGTAATCATCTTAGAAATGATCTTATACAGGACATTACAACAAGATATGGGTCTATACTGCTTAATGGACTCTGGGTTCTTTACTTTTGGAATAAGAGTGACAAGGGTGTTATTGAGTGGTTTATGCATTTCACTCTTTTTGAAAAACTCCAGTACAACTGTTGTGATCTCATGTTGTGACGATCCGACCCGTCGTCACGTGAGTTACCGCCCGTTTTCCCCATGTTATGCTTCTTTAAGTTTTATTATCAGTATTTGATGTGTTAGAGTTGGTTTGGAATGGTTTTGATAAGAAATGAGACACTTAGTCTCTTTTAAGAAGGCTTAAGTTGGAAAAGTCAACCGGATGTTGACTTTTGTGTTAGAGGGCTCGGATTTGAATTCCGATGATTTGGTTAGCTTCGGGGGATGATTTGTGACTTAGGAGTGCGATCGGAATTGATTTTGGAGGTTCGGTGTAGAATTAGGCTTGAATTGGCGAAGTTAGTATTTTGGCGAATTCCGGTTGGTAGGTGAAATTTTGATCCGGGGGTCGGAATGAGATTCCGAGAGTTGCAGTAGCTTCGTTAGGTGATTTTGGATGTGTGTGCAAAATTTCAGGTCATTCGGAGGTGTTTTGGTTGGGTTTCTGATCGAATGCGTGTTTCGGAAGTTTTAGAAGAACTTAGGCTTGAATTCGATGAGAAATGATGGTTTTAGTGTTGTTTGAGGTGTTTCAATGATTGGAGCAAGTTTGAATAAGGTATTGGATCATGCTTGTATTTTTGGTTGAGGTCCCGAGGGCCTCGGGGTGATTTCGGATGGCTAACGGGAAGTTTTGAACTTAAGAGATTTGCAGAACCTGTGCTGCTTCTGGTATTTTCGCTTCTGCGGAATTGGGACCGCAGAAGCGAGAGGAGAGACGCAGAAGCGGCAGGGACCGCAGGTGCGGAATTGGTGACCGCATCTGCGGAGTCACTGATGCGACAGGAGGACCGCAGGTGCGGTATTTGAGCTCTTATGGGGATCCGCAGATGCGTTAATTTGTCCGCAGAAGCGGGAGGCGCAGGAGCGAATGTTAAACCGCAGAAGCGGATATGTCCGCAAAAGCGGTGTATTGACCGCAAAAGCGGGAGCCGCAGATGCGGCCATGGAGCCGCAGATGCGGAAATAACTGGTCAGAATAGTTTTTATTTCCCGTCGCGAATTTTTGAAAGGGTTTCATATTTTCACTTCGGACTTGGAGAATTTGGGCGAGTTGGAGGAGAGGAATCAAGGGACTTCATTGAGGTAAGAATTTCTAAACCAAAAACACGATTTTATGGTGCAAACACATGAAATTAGACTGAAAACTCAAGGATTTAAGGTCAAAAATGGTGGTTTAGGGCTTGAAACCTAAGAGAACAAAATGGGAATTTGAGGGGTCATTTGGACTCCGATTTTGGTGTCCTTTATAAGTATAGACTCGCGCGAGATAAGGAATCCGGTGATGTAAAATTTATAATTTTTCGAGAAGTGGGCCCGGGGCTCGGGTTTTGCCAACTTCGTGATTTTCGATGTTTTTCGAGTCTTTTCGATTGGGTTATATTCCCTTAGCATATTGTGACGTATTCGTTGTGGTTTTGGTCAGATTCGACGCGCGAAGAGGTGAATTCGAAAGGCAAGGGCATAGCAAGCTAGGACTTTGGCCGGCTTGAGGTTAGTAATAAATGTAAATGTTGTGTTGAGGGTTTGAAACCCCGAATTTGCACAACGTAGTGCTATGTGAGGTGACTTGCACGCCGGATAACGGGCGTGGGGTAGAGCACCGTCGGGGATTGTGACTTGGTCCGTCCCGCTTAATAAAAATTAATACCTATTTGTTTGTAGTTTCGTGATATCCTTATAAAAATGGATTAAATTGTTATCATGGGGCCTTGTGCCAACTACTTGAATCCTTCAGAGATTGTTTTAATGATTTCTTACCATATTCATAAATATTAAACTCAGTCCTGGTATTTAATATTGTGTTTGCAAACTCAGCCTTTTTTCTTAAATTAGAAATTAAGTTAATATTTTAAATGAAGTTTGGGCTGAATATTTTTATACTATTGTGCCGAAAGGCTTATGTGATTTTTGGACTGAGTATGGGATCGGGCTGCACGCCACAGCAGTATTATAATGATATTGATATGAGGCCAAGGGCCGGTTTGATGCCACGAGATGGCTTATTATTGCGCTTGGGCCGTAAGGGGCCCCTCCCGGAGTCTGCACACTCCCAGTGAGCGCCGTCGACGTTAAATAAATGGAGCGGGCTGCACGGCCGCAGCGGGGTACTGGAGGTACCAGTTTATGTGTTGCATTGCATACTTGATTGCCATTTACTTATTTATCTGCTGTGATATTCTATAATTGTTTTTCATTAGTTTATTGAGTTGATATTATTTAGATTGAGCTGCTGTAATTACAGCTTACTTTGTGCCTGTCCAGGATTTCTTACTCTCAACCCTTATTTATGTTTATTACTTTCTGGGTTGGAAGTACTCACAATACTCCCTTCACCTTGTGTGCAGATTCAGGTACACCACAGGGTGAGTGAGGACTTGTTTAGCGGAGCAGCATTTATCCGGGAGTATCGAGGTAGCTGCATGGCGTTCGCAGCCTTGATCTCTCCCATCCATTTTATCCTTTTATTCGTATTTTTCTTTCCTAGACGGACTTGTGATAGGTGAATATTCCGTTTTAGAGGCTCATGTTCGTGACACCAGATCTGTGGGCTATTTAGTATTTTATCTTGGGATTTTTGAATGTTAAAAATTATTTCAGAGGTTCCGCATTTAAATTGCTGTTTTTACTTGTGAATATTCATTTATCCACCTAGGTTATTTGGTCAAGGTTGTGTAAATGGTCGGGCTTGCCTAGCAGTGTGTTGGGCGCCATCACGACCGGAGTTGGGGTTGTGACACATGTCCAATTATCTTCCAAGACTTCTTGAAAAAATAAGCATTTAACCCATCATCCCCTGGTGCTTTTGAATCTTCAATCCCCTGCAAAGCTTCATATACTTCCTCCTTTGTAAATTGCTTTGTTAGTTCTAGCTGGTGCTTCCTTGTAAGTACAGGGCCTCTTTTCATAATAGTGAGGTTAATGGCAGGTAGTCTTCTAGTTGATTCACCCAATAGCCTCTTATACAACCCAATGACTTCCTGCTCCACTCCATCTTCATTTGTTATCCAGTTTCCTCCCTCATCCTTTATCATTTTGATTTGATTTTGTGCTGCTCTCCCTTTCATGTTTGCAAAGAATAATGCTGTATTTGAATCACCTAGTTTGAGCCATTGTACCCGTGACTTTTGCTTATAGATTCCTTCCTCTATCGTACTCCATTTTTCCAGTTCTTTCCTAGCTTTCTTCTCTGCTTCAAACATATCCCTACTCAAAGTAGTCTGCCTCATTTGAGCTTGCACATTTGCCAATTCTTCTCTCTTTTGTTGCACCTTCTTTGTTATCCTTGTATATTCCTGCCTGTTTAAACTCTTAAGACCATATTTTACCTTCTTTAGATTCTGTATTATACCTTCCATCTTATTGCCCTTATATTTCCGACCATTCTGTACTATTTTGTCAAACTCATCATGTTCAGCTAGGCAATTGTAGAACTTGAACGCTCTCCTTCTGTTATCATTTTCCTGCTCTAATTCAATACTCAATGGTGAGTGGTCTGAAAACTGAGGATCTAGAACTTGTACTTGCATTGGTGCCATTTCTAGCATCCATTTGGCATTCACTATCCCTCTATCTATTCTACTATATACATGGTTATTTGTCCATGTATACCCCCTTCCCACTGTGACTAATTCCGTCATTTGGCACTCCATCATAAATTCTCTGAAGTCCTTTATTTCATTCATATGTACTTCAGTACCATTCATTCTGTCCTCCATATCCTTGATTGCATTGAAATCACCCATGATCAACCAAGGTACTGTCATTTGTTCTTCCAGCTCCCTCAAATTGTTCCACAAATCACATCTATTAGCTGTTGTATGTAATCCATACACAGCTGTAAATGCAAACAGGACAGTGCCGTTCCTATTTTTTACTATTCCATGTATGAATTGCTGATGAACCTTCAATTGTGAAAACATTATCTTGTTAGAATCCCACATCAGCCATATTCTACCTTTACCATTCACTGAGCTGTTTGCACACCACTTCCAACCTGCAACTATTTTTGTAATCATATTATTAATCATCTCATCTTTAATTGTATGCTCTATTATTGCAATCATAGTTACTTTATTCTCCTTTATAAACTCCTTCATCTCCCTTTGTTTATACACTTTGTTGAAACCCCTAACATTCCACGTGACTATCTTCATACTGTTATGATTGTTTGAGGTTCTTGTCCTGTATTCTCCAGCATCCTCTCCTGCTCATCAACTTTATCTGCCCAATTGTTTTGCTCCATCATTGAATCCCCCCTCAAAGGGGTAAATCCATTTGTGATTTTTAAAGTACCTTGTTGGTGGTTGCTCTGCTTGTTATGTGAACTTCTTCCACTTGCTTTCTGCCATGTTTCCTTATCATTTTCCTCTTTATCATTCTGCTCTTGCTCCCCTTGATTTCCTTTCTCCTCCTCATTTTGTTTATTTTGTTCCTTTGCTACCCATTGTACTGTAGGCTTCTGCATCTTAGCTTGTTGCATTTGTCCTCCCTTCTTTTGCATTATTCTTTGCTGCTTTTGTTGTTCATACCCCTGAACTTTATCTTGTGCTTCCCCATGTCCATTCATATTGTTACAATCATGTCCTACCATACAGCATTTTTGGCAGTAGGTTGGAACCCAGTCATATTCCACTTTCTGTTCAAAATTCTTCCCCGATGGATCCTGTACCACAATACTCATAGGAAGTTCTTTAGATATGTCCATTTCTATAAACACCCTCGCACACGAAATTCTAGCTGCACTAGAGGTGCATTCATCAGCATAAATTGGACATCCTAAAGCACTTGCTATCCTACTTAATGTGATTTCCCCCCAACAATTCAACGGCAAATTTGGGAAACTCACCCATAATGGTATATCCTTCAACACTTCATCATAGAAATTAAATTCAGCAGTCCATGATTTAAGTATAATAGGTTTATTATCTATTGTGTGTGGTCCTGTGTACAGGACTTCATTCTTATCCTCAATCGTGTTGAACAAAACCACAAAATAGCCCTCATTGTGATAGTATACTCTAGGTTTAGCAGCAAAATTCCAATTCGAGGCTATGAATCTCTCTATTGTCCCAATTGATGGTGACGCTCCAATGACATACATCACCACTGCCTTTTTCCACTTCTCATTCTCCTCTTCCATTTCTTCCTGCTATAATTGGACCTTTTTAATCCCATCCTGAATCATTGGAGGGATAAAAATAAGATTCATTCCTCTTTCCGCCAACCTATTCCCTGCAAACAGTTTTGCCCATGGTTTCTCTAATTTCCCTTCAGTTTTCTCACGTTTTCCCTGCTCTTTCTGTTCTTGTGTTCCTTGCCTACTCGTACTAGCCCTCACCTTTGCTGATACTTGATCTGTGACCTCCTTCCCAACAGCTTCATCAACAGTATTCAATGTAACAGTGTTCAATGGAACAGTACTTTTTGATCCAAACATCCCAATTGTTGCTGTAGGCGTCAAATTTGGAGAATTCCTGTTGTTACTACTCAGATTCACCGGTGTTTTCGACTTTGTTGCTTCAAACCCAGCTGAATCTGCTTGCATCAAACTTTTCCCTCTATCGTTACTTAGGGTTTCCTTTGTAGCATTACTCTTTCCTTGACCATTGCTACTACTTCCTAAACCTACAAACTCCGCCAATTGCATCTTTGTCGTGTTTTTCCTTGGTCGTCCTCATCCCATTTCCGATCAGCGTATTTTAGCATTCACACTTAAAATGCGCCGAGAGAAGGAGAGATAATACTATACTTTAGGAATCCTTAGTTTCAACACTTTTATCCAAACAGGTAAGTGATTATTTATAAAACTAGTATTTATAAACGTGCGTTGCACGTTAAATCCTGTCAATTTTACATCACAAGAAATGTTAGATAATATTATTTGTAATTATGTAACATTTGTTGTATGAGGTACAAAATCCAATATTTGAAATAAAGTGACCATATATCTTTATTTATTGTCACTTACAAATATACAGATGCTAAAAATTGTTACTAAAAGCTTAAATTGAACGAATTTCAATATTTTTTTTTGTAAAAATTTGCTTTTGTTGTGCCTTTTTACTATAGGAACGTGAATAAACTTTTAGTCTTTGAATATATCAATAAATATATAAAAAATATTAATTGTTAGCCTTGCATTCTATCTACATTGCTTCTTTAAATTTGTATACAATTGTTCTCTTTTGAAAACTAAATTCTAATTATTCTAACATGTACAATTAAGTAATGACATCAAATTTTGCAATTCGATTGAAGCCGCATTGTGATTACATGAAAGTTCCAACTATAAATTTTGTCCTAAGATTACCATTTTTTTAAGTAGAAGCCGATTTTATTTCTCACAAATTTGTGTTATAGACTCACTGACTTACTTGATATGTTGGATTTTATATCACGTTAATTTATTCACCATACTAAGGCTTTGTGTTATTATAAACTCTTTTAAATATCTGTAAGAGTAATTATTTTATAATTCAGTACTAAAATTCCCAATTTCAATGGACTCCACTCCAAAAATTTACTACGCTTCATATGCTAATTAGTTCAGATTCCCCCTAACTCTTTCGCGATTTTTTTCTCCCTTAAATTATTACTCAAGTACATTAATGTAAATAGTGAACGATGTTAGGTCATATTAATTAGAACTTTTAAAATGATATACAATTTTATATCGAGCATAACATGCAGAAGCTCACGTCGTTCACAATCTTTATTTAGTTTGTAGTTACAAATTAAGCACAAGTCCAAAGGTCATACTGCTCACAATTTTTCCATTTCGATTCTTAATTTTCCCAATTATTTCAATTTGGTTTGAATTTTGTTAAAAAGTTAACCATATGCCAAATTATGATATATTTATTAAAAAAATAATTATACTTAAAAAGTAGAGAAATTTACACTTTGTAATGAAAAATATGTAGTTCGGCTAGGTTTTTTTTCTCCTATTGTTTCTTAATTTCCCAGAATGATCTGCATAGAGATAAATTCGGTATTTTAAATGGAAAATAAAAGATTTTATGGAAAGACATATGAAAAGAGATAGTTCTTTAACCAATTCATATTGAAATTTGATTCAGATCCATTGTTTTCACAATTTTTACTAATCCAAAGTTATTAAATACTATAAATTATTGCTAAATAACTAAGTAAAAAACAACAATATTTTTTCAGCTTCACGTCCAATCTAAGTTGATGTAGTATGAACAAAAGTCATTACCGAAGCTCGGATAATAGCACAAACAGTCAATAACATTTTTATACGACAGAAGTCAACACCAAGTAAATTTATTGAAGCTTACCTTTGAGATTTGCTGGTATAGCTTCCTTTTTCCAAAAGTTGCATGGAAATATAATGAGTTGCTTGCTAATGGCTGAATACTTAAAACACCTTTACTTTTTATACTAAAAAGTTATATAGCTTTATTTTCATTAAAAAATAATGAATTATAAATATTAGTGCTAACCTCTATAATCTTCTGAATCTCTTCTTTATTGAAAAATTATTATGCGTGTTCCATAATATGCTATAGTCTAACTATTGTAGCCATAATGTCATACATAATAACAATTTAAGAAATTTATGTGAACAAACTTTCTTAACTTAATTGAGAGTGGCATAAACCTTATACTTACAGTCATATAATTACCAACTGTACTTCTCGAATAGGATTCACCCAGCAAATAAATAAAAAATTGACGAGCAAATAGCTTAGGGTCGTGAAGCAATCTTATCTTAAGGAGGTTTATCTTTTTCCATATTACTGAAGTTATTTAATAGATAATTAAATATGCTATTTTAACATAATAGGTTTTTAATTTGTCTATGTAATCATGATAGGTATAGTGTACTTTATTAATTGTGCTTTTCTAAACCTAGTAGATAATTAGTGACCGAGCTTTAGACACCAAATTTTAGGTGACCGAGCTTTAGACACCAAAATTCAGAGATAGTATTTAAGTAGATCTCTATTTATATTGTATTTTACTAAAAAACCTATAATTTTATGTCACGACCCGGATTTCCCACCATCGGGAGTCGTGATGGCGCCTACTGTTGGAGCTAGGCAAGCCAAACATTTGAACATTTTCGGATAACAACATAACAATAATAAAATAACGAGTTTTTAAATAAATACGGAAGTCTTTTAAAACATAAATAACTGAAAACCCAAAAATGCGGAAGTCTAATATTTCACTACCCAAGACTGGAGTCGCTATCTCACGAACTACTAAAGAGTGCTACAAACAAGTCTGAATAGAAATACATAAATGTCTGTCCCGTACAATGGAAACAAACTGAAACATAGAAAGGGACTCCGGCCTGCGAACGCCAGCTAGGCTACCTCGTAAGTCCCTGGACTGAAGTCAGCTCCCGATCAATATCCTACTACTGTGGTCCAAAAGCTGCTCCGGTACCGTGATCTGTGCAAAAGAGCACAGAAGTGTAGCATCAGCACAACCGACCCCATGTGCTGGTAAGTGCCTGGCCTAACCCCGGCGAAGTAGTGACGAGGCTAGACAGGACTACCAAGTCAACCTGTGCAGTTCAATGTATATATGTGCAATACAAGGAAAGGATACAGAAATTAAACAGTTAAGAGGGAGGGGAGCATACTATGGGGGAGTACAGCCCGGATATAAAATTGACAATTTAAGTAAGAAACAGGGCAATAACAATAGTTAATAAGAGCAGGAAAATCAACAGTTGCACGGCATCAACCTTCGTGCTTTTACTCTCATTCTCACAAAAAGCAATCAAATAAAGTGCACGGCATCACCCTTCGTGCTTTCCCTCACATACTCTCATATCATGGCACGGAATGATCCTTCGTGCAATTATAATCAAATCAGAGCACGGAATGTCCCTTCGTGCATAAATAATTAAAGCATGGCACGGAATGACCCTTCGTGCAAATATAATCAAGCATGGCACGGAATGACCCTTCGTGCAAATATAATCAAAACATGGCACGGAATGACCCTTCGTGCATTATCACTCTTCCTCACCCAAACGGTAATCACAACCAAACGGGGCGAGGAGATAACCAAATAATAAGAAATGTCTCGACAAGGGAATTACACAATTAGCAGCTAAATCCCGGCAAGGGAGCAACAACAACACTTTCACATCCCGGCAAGGGGGATAATCAACATACTCAAACCATCTCGGCCAGGGATTAATCATATCACTTTCTCTTTCTTTCCTTTCTTACTCAATAGTCTTATTATCGTTGGAGCCAACGCTCCAAAGAATTTACAATTCATATTTAGTCCTCATACCCTTCACATTGCATAGAAAATTCATCAATTAACATGGAAGGGTCATAACAATATCAGGATAAGTACATACAAGGACCCACGGTCATGCTAGACACCGGTGTATAGATACTCGTCACCATGCCTATACACCGTACTCGATCATTTAGCAATTAGCAAATAATAACACTCTAATCCTATTCCTTCAAGCCAAAGTTAGATCAAACACTTACCTCAAATGCTCCAAACCCAACTCAATCCTCTAGTATAGCTTTACCCGTCGAATTCACCACCAAACCGCTCGAATCTAGTCACAAATTACTTGAGTGTATCAATAAAAGCTAATCTAATAAATTTGAATGCATGAAAAGTGAATTTCCCAAAATGCCCCCGGGCCCACGTGGTCAAAACCCGAGGTTCGAACCGAAACCCGATTACCCATTCCCCCATGAACTCAAATATGTAAGTTATTTTGGAATCGGACCTCAAATTAAGGTCCAAAACCCCCAAATTTAGGAACCCTAGTTCTAACCTAAATTTTCAAATTCCCCCATTAAAATCTTTGTTTTGAAGTTGAAATTATGTTTAAGGATGTTAAGGAGTATAGAAAATCAGTTAGAAATCACTTACCAATCGTTTTGAAGAAGAAGAATCGTTTGGAAAATCGCCACTTATGTTTTGGGTTTTGAAAAAGTTTAAAAAAGATTGAAAATCCCGACTTTATATACTTTACTGAAGGCCGGCGCGGACCGCACAAAAATGCACCGCGGCCGCGCCGAGGAAGGGAAGAAAAATGACTCTCTGAACCTACCCAGCGCGGACCGCACTGATTTGGTGCGCGGCCGCGCTGGTTGACCTAGAATTCACTGGCCCTCTAAACCT